AGTTTATGGCTGGGGATCACTGCAATGTGAGGAACTATATTAAAGGATCGCAGCATTGAGAAGGGTAAGCAGCTCAGGATTAAAGGCATGGCAGTACACTTATAACCTCCGTACTGGGGAGGGGGGAGACGGGTGGGTCAATGTGGCTCTGTGGCCAGCCCAGTCTACTTGGCAAGCTTCAGGCCAGTAAGAGATTCTATCTCAAGGGCTAGGATGGTTGAATTACCAGTTAAAAGTGCCAGCTGTTTTTCCAGAAGACCCAGGTTTGGTTCTCAGTACCCACATGGCAGTTCACAGATGTCTGTAACTCTAGTTCTAGGGGATCCAACACCCTTTTCAGGCCTCTGTGGGCATGCGCATGGTGCGCAGACATATATACAGGCAAAACACCCACTCACATAAAATCATAATAAAAACTAATAACTAAAATAAAAATGAGTTCAGCTTAATTTTAAAAAAACAAACTAGTCAATGGCTCCTGAGGAACACACAAGCAAAGCATGTAAGCACATATAGAAAGCAAATAAGTAACATGACAACAAGAAATTTCCAAAGTACATATCAGAATAACCCTTAAAGAAGGCCTTTTTCAGCGAGGCTCGGAGAGCATCAAGGACTCCAGGACAGACGGCCTCAGTAGGGACAGTCAGGACACAGTCACAGGCTGGATAAGCAGAAAGGTTCAGTCGGTACAGAAATCATTGCGACCTTTTGTGTAGTTTTCCTCCAGGGGAAATTTCACAGGCAAAACGTTGAACCTCAGATTTCAGAAGTCCAAGAGAAAAGTCCTCAAGGGCAACCCACTGACTCGTCCCTCTGATTAGCCCAGAGTAGGTGGGAAATCCTCTTTCCTTCTTCCTGCTGTAGAACTGCCAATTTTTTTTTATGAAGAGAATCTCTGGCAACAGGAACTAAATGTGAGCACAGAGATACAACCTAAGAGTCTAATTTTGCTAAAACAAGACTTTTTTTTTTTTTGGACTTTAATGTCTGAGCTAACATAAGTGACATTTTCTCCAGCAGTCGGAACAACTAGTAACATTGTTTATAGGCCAAACACTGCTGACCCCCTGAATACCAGGCTGCCCCAAAATAGTAACACTGTTTGACCCAACCAATGGCCCGAAGAAACAAGGTAGAGGTCTCTAGAGCGCATGCTCAAACCTCCAAGAAATATTACAAATTTAAGACAACCATATTTTTGTTTGTTTGTTTTATCATGAACTTGGGGCTTCACTTTGCCGAGGAATTAGATCTAAATAACTGTGCGCCTAAGGATGTGGGGTTAACCTAAAAAAGTTCTACCCCGAGCAGTGGATGGGACCCTTTGCCATCCCTCTGATAACATACCCACCTGTTCAAGAACTGCTCCCTTGAAATTGTTTGAATCCAAGACACATAATTCCATTGCTAGAGAAGCCACAACAAGACAAGAAGTCAAGACATTCACTTCGAAAATAATACTCTTTCTTTAGATTTAAGGAGCACAGAACGCCTAGAGACCTTTGCAACGCTCTCCTTGATCTTTAGTTCTAAGGTAAGTAGAGCTTATATGTTATCAATTTAATATAAAGCATGGGAATTAACTTCCTGGGATACAGTGTTTCTACCTAAAATAAATGCGAAAGCCAGAGAGAGGGCTCAGTGGTAGAGTACTAGCGTTCGTGAGACCCTGGGTTCAATTCCCAAAGCTAAATAATCTATGATTCCCATGACTTGGGAGGCTTGAGGCAGGGGATCCTAGGTTCGAGGCCTGCCTAAGATATGAAGGAAGCCTAATGCCAGCCTGGGCCACTTAGCAAGACCCTATCTCAAATAAAGCAGGAAAAAAGTTAAGGCTATAGCTCAGGCTAAGGTCGAGTGGAAGCCTGTGGGTTCTCGCCCTTGCAATGTCCACAGAAAGGAATTTCTAATTAACTGAGATTGAAGCTGAGACCAAAATAAGGAATTTTTGCCAGATTCTAGAACAATCTGATGCGGGAGAGTGGGGGGGGATAATTATCACAATTCAAAAAGTGTCCAAAGCTGGCTCTTAGGAGCCACACCCAGTAACACAAATCGCTGACCATCGGAGAAAACAATACCGCAGTGAGCAGAGGAAGGACATTCCTGACCCCTCAAGGCCTTTGAGAAAGTAGGACTGTAGGAATCTAGAAACGAGGGGGGCAAAGGATGTATCCATCACCAGAAGCCCCACTGGTTCCTCAGCCTGTCCCCTCCCTGCGTGGCCCTTCCAGTATCTCAAAGTAAGGACCAGAGGTTAATCTCCCACAGGCCAATACGTGCAAATCCAGCGTGAGCAGACCTGATGCAGACACACAGCCTTCTTTGTTCCCTCTGAGTTCTCCCACAAAGATTCTTGCTGCTTATCCTACCCAAGCAGTGAGTCAGGATGGCAGGGAGATTAACAATAACAATAGCAGTAGTGGTAGTAGTAGTAGTAGTAATTAACAATAACGCGATGCTGATTCTGTTCAAAAGCCCAAACCCCAGAACTTGGAGACAAAACATCAGAAGGGGTTGAAACAAAACCAAAGTTGAACAGAAACAGACAAAACAACAGACATTGACTGGAAAGGTCGCAACTGCCAAGAAAATACTAGAATAAGCAATCCTGAGGCCCATGGGGCTTGAAGAAAGAAAAGTTACATTATTGTCAATTAGAATGCAAGTCAAGTTTAACAGAAATAAATTTGACAGTTAAAAAAATTCTTTCTATAGACAAGACTGAAGGAGATTGAGGATAGACAGACAATAACAAATATATACACACACACTCACACACACTCACACACACACTCACACACACTCACACACATACTCACACACTCACACACACTCATACACACACTCACACACACACTCACACACACTCACACACACACACACACACACACACACATATATACATATAAGCTCTGCCATAACCCCGTGTCCCCATGTTCAGCATCTACAATATAATATCTTTTATTACTGTCGCTGTGATAAAATTGATGACCTGCCAAACAGAAGCCACAACACCAGGATTTAAAGCACACTACAGTAACTAATATTGCCATCTTACCCGAAAGTAACAAAAGGTTAAAAAACCTTTTCCTTTTAGAAACGGACCCATGTCTTAAGTACGATCCCTGGAAATATTTCTGAGCCGCTGACATTTTTATATTTACAGCCCATGACAAAAGTCTCACCTACTCTAACTCTAGCGTCACTCACTGCCTTAAACATCGTGATTATATCTTCAACGCGCCATTTGCTCTGCAATAATCCACTGTACAAAAGCCGGCTTTCTCGCAGACAGAAGATAAGTACACGGTAAATCAGCTTGCAATGACTATTTTCCTAACTCCTGCACACTGGGAGCTCAGATTCCAGTTTATCTTTTCCAACGCTGCCTCCCATCTCCCCCCTACCCCCACCCCTCCTCATTTTACTGCTTCCTCCTATTCATTTTGCCTACCCCCTTGCCATGGCTGCCTGGCCAGATTTTACCACGCCAGTGAACCCCTGCTGCTGCCATCCTTGGAGGGAAGAGAGATGCCAAGGGCCTTGCAGAAGAGCATCGTTCTCTTGGCTCACTGGGGCAGAGGAAGGAACTCACAGGCCAATTTGCATATGCTTTTATTCCATTCCACACCCTGCGAGCTAACTCTCTCTGGAAAGTCCCTTCTCAATTCCCTCCTCGTGGCAGCTAGGGAGGAAGCGGCTGGGCCGGAATCGAAGGTTCCAGCCCAGTCAGGCTGTGTCAGCATCTTAGGGCACAAGCCAGCAGACTCCCACCCGAAGTCAGCAGTGTCTCTACCCATACAGATGCCAACAGGGACCCTCTTCCCAGCCAGAGGGGGGCTGCTGGCTACAGCTATAATGACATGCAAGTTCTAGAGAGTTCTTTGCGAGGCAGAGTAGGCTCCAGCCTCCCCTGAGGAAGTGCTGGTCAGGCGTTGGGTCCCTGACTTCCTGTCTGTACTCTCCCCTGCCTGTGGGGAAATCCCGAGAGCTTTATCGGCTGCCCAATGAGCCTGTTGGCTTTTCAAGTAGGCGTAGACTGAGTTTCGACCAAAAACCTCAATTTAACATTAGCCAAAATAAATAGGTAAATAAATAACATGTGTGCGGGTGTTTAAAAAGAGAAAGAATTGACCTCTGTCGTGGGGACCGGGAGGAAAGATCTCTGACTAGCTTCAGGCACACAAGCCTGGATTGGCTCAACAGTGGGACAAAGACATGCTTTCAGCTATGAACCGGCAGGCAGGAAGGACACTCAGAAATCCACTCCCAAGCATCCTCCTGCAGAAAACCATTAATGGCCTAAGCGACCTCTAAATTTTAATGAGGTCCCATCAGACAGCAGGCACTCTGACAAGAGTTTCACAAACACGGTCTTCCCTGATTTTACAATGTTAACCTTTGGTGAGGTTAGGGGACTCGCCTAAGGTCACATAGTCCCTCTGGGGGTACCCTTCACTGCTCATATCCCCAAGTCTAGAAAACCCTTACAAGGTCTTTGGAACGCACAATAATAATAATAAATTTTTAAGAAAAGAAGTTGAATTCCCAGTCAAGATAAATAAATAGAGTCACCATGGGAAATCATCCACAGACAGAAAAGAGACAGTCCAATGACTCTACTCCTGGCACAGGTGGTCACTGCCCTGAACTCTCCAGATGGTGCCCATCGCTCATCCTGCTGGGGCTGCAAAGGTTGGTTCAAACGTCTCTTGCGGCTAGCTTTTTGGAAAACAAACATCATTGCAGGTCAGACGCTGAACATACATAATGCCCTTTTTAATTCTTCTAACACACACACACACACACACACACACACATACACACACACACACGGTAGCTACTGTTGTTAATCCTTGGATTATAGATAAGAAAGCAGGGCTGTGAAAGATTTCAACACTTGCTCATTGTCACACGGCTAGAGCTGAGTAGTGCTGAGATTTGAAATGATGTTTGTTGTCTCCCAATCTCTGATGCCCCGTATATTACCTCTTAGTGCCTCTCAGGGAGGTCTGCTCCCTGAGAAGGGGCCTCCTTGGGGTAGAGCCATGACTCCAGGCTACTGAAGAGATTCCCAGCAGCCTACAGGTGCCGACTAGCATTCACTGAAATCCTGGGTGTGTGGAAGAGAAGAAACATATTGGTAACCAGAACGGCAAGAGCTGTGTCTTATTAAGGTATACATGACATATTTGTGAAGCTTTCATAAAGGTCAAAAGCTACATTGTGTCAGTTAGTGACAAGCCTGTTTAAAGAGGCCTGAAACTGTTTGGATCCACTGACTGGAATGAGACTTGAAAGGAATTAACAGCAGGAGCGGGAGCCTGACCAGTGTCTGTTGACAATTTCCCTGCCCAGTTCCAGACTGTTAACTCCCGTGTTCCCAGGGCCTCCTTCTCAACACCCGGGGTTCACTCAGCTTGGTTGTCTAGAAGCAGTCAGGGGTGCCCTCAGAGGCAGCACTGGGCCGCCAGCTGTATCCACTTCCCATTGTCTGCCTTTTGCCTTGGGAAGCACAGACTAAAACCAAGAGGCAGGTTTTTGCAAATGAAATGTGAATTAAGCCTCTTCTCTTCATAATTAAATTTTAAGGATTATTTTTGGGGGGTTGGCAGGGGGAGAAGTGCAAGGTAAAGGGAAGCCTAGATATCACTTGTGGGACTTACGGTCCACACCAGGCAAAGCACTACACACTTCACCACCTCTGTGCCACTTAATACTAGCCGCATGGCTATTTCTAACTCGCAGAAATATACAGTCGGCAGACACTCAGGCAAGTTAACAGCTTCAAGAGGGAATTGGGAGGTGCTGGCTAAGAATGGCTGAATGGGAAAGAGGAGATCCATGCAAGAACACTCCCTGTCTCCCTTGGTTCACAGCCCCAGTCTAACTGAATGCCATGCTGGGGGCTATAGTGACCACTCGGTGTTACTTAAGAATTCAGCACACGTCTTTAATCCCAGCACTCTGGAGGCAGAAGCAGGTGGATCTCTGAGTCTGAGGCCAGCCTGGTCTACAAAGAGAGTTCCAGGACAGCCAGGGATACACAGAAAAACCTTGTCTCAACAACAACAACAACAAAAAAAAATCCTCATACTTCTGAACCAAATTTTAGTTCCCAGCCATCTTGAACATTGGTGCACTGAACCTGACCAGGCCTGAGTGCCTCCATCTTTTGGACCCTGAATGGTTTTATGTTTCTACTCCAAGCAGCACACTTCCTTCTGAATAGCTCATTCCCTACTCTACCCCCAGATCTCCTCTGCGTTGAACATCTCGAAACACACATATCCCGCCCTCAACATTGCGTACTGGCTACCCTCAGTTTCACACAGTGCTGTATGAACTGATGCTTTCGAATGTCAGGACCAGAAACAGAGCTGATAAGCCATTCAGAGTTCTGATGCTTCAATGCAAAAGCATTTGATTACACATCTATCGTTTTTCATTTTGAATTTTGGAAACATTTTTTTTTTTCATTCGTGAGCCCTGAAAACCACATGCACACAGTGCCCAGAATCTCTGACATTGGTACCTGGGTCCACATTTAAGTCCGAGTTTTGTTCCCTGTTCTGAGGAAGAAGGAAGCATAAAGGTTCGGAGGTATGCAAATTTCGCGCTGGAAAGACAGACTTCAGACACGTCCCAGGCGCCACGGGGATGTCTCCACCAACCTGGAGTCTTCAGACGATTGATCTGGGCACATGGACACGGTGAGATGGACAGCTAGGAAAAGCACCACCAGGCGTTGTGGTGAAGCTTGCATCTCCAGCCCTCTCAGTAGCTGATACACTTCAAGCTCTAGAACTCGGGAAACACAAAGCTAAATGCACAGCAGCTGCTGGGGTGAGAGCCGGTACCTGCTCAGCTGGAGGATCCGGACAACCTACTTAACAGTTTGTCTGTGCATGGCTGTTCTCATTAAGGATTTACACACGCGTAAATGCAACAGCGAGTGGGCTAAACAGTCCAGCCTTACACTCCAGCTTAGGAAAACTAACTTGATCCCTTAAGCAACTCTTCCAATAAAATCAGAACACCTACCTGGTAGATTGCTCTGAAGATGATGTTTATCTTAAAAGTCAGCAAAGTGCCCAATGGGAATGCACGACCCACAGTGTGCTCTGAAAAGGATGAAGCCAAAAAGGCACTTACTATATACCTTGCTTTATCTTGTTCCAGTTGAGATATTTTTTGGTTTGGGTTTGGTGTGGGTTTGGGGTTTGGAGATAAGCCCTCAGGTCACCCAGGCTGTTCTCCAACTTCCTTTGTAGCCAAGACCGACCTTGAATTCCTGAGACCCCTTCCTCGGCCTCCCAAGTGCTGGTCCCACAGGCCTGTGCCACCACACCCAGCTCAAATGCATCTTTACTACATTTCTTGTGTGCCCTTTCCCCAGGGTTGGACAGAAGAGAGCTCTGTAAACATTCGGGCTGGGTGGAAATCATACCACACTGTTCATGTTCACAGCACAGGAACGCGATGATGCCCGTCACATGCCTGCATGCTGAGACGGCCCTCTAAACTCCCAATGCGTTCTTGTAAAATCTGCATCTCTAGAGGTGGAAACGGAGGAAGCAGACCTGTTCTCTATTGCTGTAGCAAAATACCAGTGGCTAAGTGCTTATAAAGAAAAGAAATTATTTAGCTTACAGTTTTGAAAACTGAAACTCCAAGATCAAGGGCCTGTCAGGTCGGCCTCTCGTGTGGGCCCGACTTATCTACAGGAAATGGTTGAATCAATGACACAGCATCTACAGCGACCTCGTCTACTCTACTTAAAACAATGGTGATAAAGGATACTTAATAAAATTAAAGGAATCCCCGGCTGGGGATATAGCTCAGTTAGCAGGGTGCTTGTCCAGTGTGTGCAAACACCATAAACCAGGCAGGGTGGCATGTGCCTGTAATCCCAGCACCAGGGAGTCAGAAGCAAGAAGATCAGGAGTTCAAGGTCACCTTTGACTACAAAACCGGTTTGAACTCAGCCTGGGCTACGTGAGCTGTCTCCAAAAAAAAAATCCTTAAGACATATTTCATTCCTTTAATTTGTGTGTGTGTGTGTGTGTGTGTGTGTGTGTGTGTGCCGTGTGTGAAGGTGCCTGCAGAAGCCAGGAGAGAGAGTCTGATCCCCTGAAACTGGAGTTACAAGCAATTGTTGGCCATTTGATATCAGTGCGGGAAACAGAACTCAGGTACTCCGTAAGAGCACTAAGTGCTCTTAACCACTGAGCAAGCTCTCTAGCATATATATAATTTTTAAAAAAAGAATGAAAAAAATTTCTCTTCTTTTATGTATATGAGTATTTTGCCTTCATATATGTATATGCACCACATGTATGCCTGGTCAGAGGAGGGCATCAGATGCCCTGGAACTGAAATTACATGAGATCTACCATGTGGGATCTGGGAATAGACCCCCGGTCTTCTGCCAGAGCCACAATTAATCTTCACTACTGAGCCATTCTCCAGCTCCCCCACCCCAATATATGTTTTAAAGAAACTACAAAACACATGTGGATGTCATTCAATTTCTTGGGGTGGAGCAGGGAGACCATGAAGATACCAAAGACACAGCAGAGAGTAATGATTCGCAGACAGGAAGTAGTGAGGAAGGCCTTTCTTTGCTTTCTCCTCTGTTTTCTATGCTAAAAAATACAAACAAGGGAAGCTGCCACCAGCTGGAGAAGCAGGCAGACAAGATTTCCACTCTCCCTCCTCTCCTCCAAATCCAATCTCCCCCCACCTCTGTAGCAGACAACCTGCCCTTCCCCTCTGCCTCCAACTTTAGGAACAAGCAGATCTCCTCCTACAGCCTCCCTCACCACCCCATGCTTTTGTCTCAGCAGTCAGTTCCCACAGGCATTCACTGAGACCCTGCCAAGTCCACCAGGGAAACAGACAGAGCAGGAAAGGAAGTCAGTGGATCTTCAAGCCTTCACTCAACCTCCTCTCCTCCAGCTCCAGTCCCCAGTCTCATCCTCAGCTCTGTAGCCAACCACCAACTGTGGCCTCTCCCTTTCTCCCTCTCCCTCTCTCTCTCTGACTCTCTCTAATAATTCAAGACTAAGCAGATCCTGGTAGCACACCCTTCTCTCTTCCCTTCTGTGGAACCCTTCTAGTCCGTCTCAATCCCTAAATGTCAGCTCCCAATACCAAGAAGCACACTATTTGGAACCTCCAGTGGCCACACCTGGCAGGATCTCAGAAGCATTCCCTACCAGGCACCACCCAGCCAGGACACTCTCCTAAGAACTAATGAGGGCGACAGAAACCAGGATTGAGCACCCATCCCTCAAAGACCAAGACCAAGACAAAACCTAAACAGAGAAATACTAGAGTTAACTGATATCATAAAAACAAATGGACCTAAAAGATATTTACAGAACATGTTACCCAAATACAAAAGAATACTCCTTCTTCTCCAAGACTGACTACATACTTAGACTCAAAGGCAGTCTCACAGTTACACAAAAATTGAAATAACCCCCTGCGTCTTATCAAACCACCACAGATTAAAGCTGGATTTCAACAGCAATGGAAAAAAACACAAAGCCTACAAACTCGTGGAAACTGAAAATTCACCACTGAATAAAAAATGGGACAAAACAGAAATTAGGGAAGAAATTAAAATTTTTCTACATTTAAATGAAAATGAAAAGACAACATACCCGAACTTATGGAACACAATGAAGGTGGTTCTAAGAGGCAAGATCATAGCCCTAAATGCCTATTTTTAAAAAAAAATGGAGATATCTCAAATTAGTAACTTAAAAGTCCACCTGAAAGCTCTAGAACAAATATATACAATGTTCAGAAGGAAGATGGCAAGAAATAATCAACCTGAGGGTTAAAAATCAAATAGAAAAGAAAAACAATACAAAGAATCAATGAAACAAAAAGTTAGTTCTTTATGAACAATTGACAAATCCTTAGCCAAATTAACTAAAAGATAGGAAGAGAAAATCTAAACTAACAAGATTAGAGACAAAAAGGAGGACATAACAGACACTGCGGAAATCCACGGAATCATAAAAACATACTTTAGAAACCTGTACTCCACAAATCAGAAAATCTAAAAGAAACGGATAATCTTCTCAATACATATCACCTACCAAAGTTAAATCAACATCAGATAAGCAAAACAAATAGGCATAGTAATTAAAATTCTACCAACTAAAAGAAACCCAGGGTCAGAGGGTCTAGTACAGAATTCTACCAGACTTTCAAAGAAGAGTTACCCCCAATCATCTTCAAATTATTCTACAAAATTGAAACAGAAGGAACATTTCCTGTTTCTTTTTACGAGGCCACGGTGACTTTGATACCTAAACTTCACAAAGAGCTAACAAAGAACGAGAGTTACAGACCAGTTTCCCTCATGAACATAGATGCAAAATTTCTCAAAAAAAAAAAAATACTTGCAAATACAATCCAAGAACACATCAAAAATACTCATCCACCATAATAAAGTAGGCTTCAGAGATGCAGGGATGGTTTAACATACGAAAATCTGTCAATGGACTCCACCACATAAACAGACTGAAAGACAAAAAAACAAACCACATGATCGTCTCATTAGGTGGAGAGATAGTCTGTGACAAAAAAAAAAAAAATCCAACACCCCCTCATGATGAAAGTCCTGGAGAGATTAGTAATACAAGAGACATAACTCAGCGTTAATAAGGCAATTTACAGCAAGCTCGTTGCCAGTATCGACTTAAGTGGTGAGAAACTCAAAGCATTTCCTCTAAAATTAGGAACGAGACCAAGATGTTCACTCTTTCCATACCAATTAAATATAGTGCTTGAAGTATTAGCAAGAACAGTAAGATAGCTGAAGGAGAGCAAGGGATACAAAAGGGAAAGAAAGAAGTCAAAGTATCATTATTTTCAAATGATATGATAGTATACATAAACGGCCCTAAAGATTCCACCAGGAAACTCCTGCGGCTGATAAACACTTTCAGCAAAGCAGGAGCATGTAAAATCAACACATAAAAAAACAGTAGCCTTGGCGGGGCGGTGTTGGCACAAGCCTTTAATCCCAGCACTTGGGAGGCAGAGGCAGGCAGATCTCTGTGAGTTCGAGGCCAACCTGGTCTACAGAGTGAGTTCCAGGACAGGCTCCAAAGCTACAGAGGAAAAAAAAAGTAGCCTTCCTATAAACAAATGACAAACTGAAAAAGAAACAGGGAAACACCACCTTTCACAATAGCCTAAAATAATATAAAATATCTTGGGAGTCACTCTAACCAAGCAAGTAAAAAAATTGTATGATTACCAAAAAAGGACATTAAAGAAAGAAATAAAGACACTGAAGATATCAGAAGATAGAGAGATCTCCCACAGTCATGGATAGACTAAGGACCTAGGCAGAAAAGCAAATACTGCTGTTCTGCTAAAGAGCGGAGCAATAAAATGACTCCTAAAAACACTCTGCCATAGTCACAGATCTATGCCTTGCTCATTCATCAACAGAGAAGGGTCCTCCTGCAGCAGACGGGAACAAATACAGAGATCCACAGCCAGACAATATGTAGGGGGAGAAACTTTGAAATACTCAAGTCCTAATAGGGAAGTCTGCATCAAATCCCTGCCCTCAGGGCTCAGGGGACCCTGTGGAAGAGGAGGCTGAAAGAAAAAGAGTCAGAGGGGATGGAGGATCAAATCCGACTCTATATAAACTCAGAGGGTATAGAGCATGCACAGGGCCTGCACCAGATGGGGTCCTAGAGTTAAAAAGAGAAGTGGACATGAGCCCCCAACTCTAACCCAGAAACTATCTCTAATTGATAGCCACTCACAAATGAAAATTTTCTTTTCTCTGATGGGGAATATTGTTTGAAGGTGTGTTGCTGCTGTTTATGCTGCATTTGTTTAACTCTGTGAAGCTGTGATTCTTGGCCTGTGTAAAACACCTGATGGCCTAATAAAGCGCTGAATGGCCAAGAGCGAGGCAGGAGCAAGCACAAGCAGAGCTGGCGGCAGAGAGCAAACAGGAGGAGAAACAAGGAAGAGGAGGAAGGAGCGAACAAGGAGAAGAGGACATCAGGGGTCAGTCACCCAGCCAGTCACAGAGTAAGAAAGATAAAAACACAGAAGGAAAAGGTAGACAGGTTAAGATAAGGATAGCTGGCTAGAAACAAGCCAAGC